GGGGGCAGGGGGGGTCTCCCACCACAGCCCCCCGCCTCGACCCTTGGATTTCAATTAGGGCGAAACCACAAATGGAATAACGTGGGGTGTGTGTGTGTGTGTGTGGCTGGACGTGGGACGCTGCGATTCGGACACGCTCACTTGCACACCCGGCGTGCGCAAAGCGGGGGGGCTCCTTCCTGCTGTGGGGTCTGGGAAGGGGGATCATCCCCCAGGGGCTTCAAAGGCTCAAAAGACCCCCGGGAGTTGCCTTCTCCACCTGGGGCACCTCCAGATGTTCGGGGCCACGTCTGCCAAGTTGGGCCGAGCTGACGGAGACCGTGGGGGCTCGTGGCCCAAACCAGCCCCCCCGCCAAAGAAAGGGATTTGGGGTGGGGGGGTGAGTGTGGGCACCAAGCAGAAAGCCCGACCCTTCCACGTAAGGAGAGCAAAAGGCATTGAGCAGCAAAAGTCTGGGGTCTTCAACCTCGGCCACTTCGAGACTGGTGGACTTCAAGTCCCAGAATTCCCCAGCCAGCCAATTCCAGGCGTTGAAGCCCACCGGTCTTAAAGTAACCAAGTTTGGAGACCCCCCATCTAGATGGGACATCTCTGTTCATAGCTTGTTTACCAAATGTGCCCATTTTCTGCTTTACATCATCTAGATCAGGGGTAGTCAACCTTGGCTCTTTTACGACTCGTGGACTTCAACTCCCAGAATTCCTGAGCCAGCTTAGCTGGCTCAGGAATTCTGGGAGTTGAAGTCCACGAGTCGTAAAAGAGCCAAGGTTGACTACCCCTGATCTAGAATGTAGTGTTTCTCAACCTGGCTTGAAGACGGGTGGACTTCAAACTCCCAGAATTCCACAGCCAGCCATGCCTGTTGGTGGTTTTTTCTCCCCCTCCCACTGTCTAGCGTGGAGAGATTGCAGAGGAAAGGATCGCAAGAGAGTAAGCAGGCCGTAACGGGGGCTAGGCCTGAAAAGGAATGCATGAACGCCAGGGAATTCTGGGAACTGAAGTCCGCAAGGGTTCAAAGCGGCCAAGGATGGAGACACACACACACAGTCACCACCCCCCACCCACCCCGCTCTAAAGAAGGGGCAAGAGGATGCCTCCGGGAAATGCACAGCAATGGCGGAATGGGTCGTTCCGTTGCTCTCTTTGGAAAAAACAGCAGGAAAGCCCCCCACCACCCACCCTCCTTGGAGGGGGGGTGTCTCGGGGCGAAACGAAATGCTTGCATTTTTTATGTCGGCTGCGTTGCAAAGTGGGGAGGGCTTAGTCCCACCTGGGTGTGGATCCAAAGGCCTGGTGGGGGGGGGAGGAGCAGAAAATGTACTCATTGACTATTCCTGTCCCCCCCCCTCCCCACAGACTGGGAGCTAGGAAGGGAACGAACTGGGAAAATTTCACAGCTTTGGAGATTTAAGGGGAGGGGGGAGACGCTTTCCGAAAGCTCACGGATTTGAACCTTCGACGCTTAACCCTGTTTCAGGCTGTGGGAGGAGGAGCCTGGGAAACTGGGGAGGGGCTTCTGCTAACCCCCCCAGGCCCCAGGGATCAAAGCAGGGGAAGGGGCTCATTTGTGGGGGGGGGAAGGAAGAGTAGGTGTTCTGGCTGTCCCAGTGAAGAGGGGGGGGGAGAAGCTCCATCACGCCGCTGCCTCTGCCATCCCTGACCCACAGCGCCCCCCACCCCCCAAAAAAATTGGCCCACCCCTCAAAACAATCCAGTCTTTTTTTTTTCTTTTTCCAAACACAGGAGGGGGGGGGGCAAAAAATGAGAACAAAAAACAAAAACTACACAGAGATTCCAAATTCTTCGAAGGCTCTGGGGCACACATGATTTGCGGCTGCTGGACGCGCCCGCCCGGGTGTGGGTTTTCCGGCGGAAGGACGCCGTCCGCTTCCCACCCCCGAAACAAAGGCGGTGCCCTTCGGTGCCCGTGCCCACTTCCTACGCCCCCCCTCCCTCCCGGTCCCCCGGCCGGGCAGCAGCCACGGCGGAGATGGAATGGGCCACGGCGGCGCGTCTCTGCCCGTCCCTTCGAAGGTCAGCTTCCCGCGAGGATCCCTCGTCCTGGCGGAAGGGGTCTGCTGCCGGGGGGGCCGGGACAGGTGGGTGGGCGGGCGAGGCAGACCCCCCTCCCCGTGTCCTAGTCAGTAGAGAAAAGGTCCCCAGCAGACGGGAGGGGCGCCAGCCCGCCAGTGACGTTGGGCAGCAGCGAGAGGTCCGGCAGACTCTGGATGTGGGACTTGAGCTCCTTGCGCACCTGAGTGACCCGGGCCAGTTTCTGCTTGTATTCCTGCAAAGGGGAGGGGAGGGGAAGAGGGGGAGAGAAAGAGGGAGAGGATATTAATTCATGTCTAGAAAGAGTGCAGAGAAGAGCAACAAAGATGATCAGGGGACTGGAGGCTGAAACATATAAGGAACAGTTGCTGGAATTGGGGATGTCTAGTTTAACGAAGATCATCTTCAATGATCAACGTGATCAGAATGACAAGGAAGACAGGAGAAAGGTCAACGTCCTCGTTCTTTCCAAAACTGATGTGCTTGATTTCAATTCCCACAAAAAAGAGGGAGTCAGGCTATTCTCCAAAGTGCCTGAATTGGGGATGTCTAGTTGAATGAAGAGAAGGACGAGTCTTCCAGTATCTCAGGGGCTGCCCCAAAGAAGAGGGAGTCAAGCTCTTCTCCAAAGCGCCTGAAGGCAGGACAAGAAGCAACAGATGGAAACTCATCAAAGAGAGAAGGAACCTAGAACTAAGGAGAAACTTCCTGACAGTGAGAACAATTAACCAGTGGAACAACCTGCCTCCAGAAGTTGTGGGTGATCCATCACTGGAGGTTTTTAAGAAGAGACTGGACAGCCATTTGTCAGGAATGGTAAAGGGTATCTTAGCCGAGCAGGGGATTGGACTAGAAGACCTCCAAGGTCCCTTCCAACATCATCATCATCATCATCATCATCATCATCATCATCATCATCATCATCATTATCATCATTATTATTATTATTAAAAAACCTTGACCTGGACAATGGAGAATCTCCATAGGACATTATTTATTGATTTAATTAAAACACTGATATAGATTTATATCGATTTATAACATTTACAAAGATTCCTCCTTCCGTTAGGTATTCAAGATGGACAGTGATTAACATTTCTATGTTACTCATAGGTAAGGGTGTAGCTCTATACCTAAGATATGCAGATGATGCCACTCTAATGGCAGAAAGTGAAGAGGAGCTAAAGAGCCTCTTGATGCAGGTGAAGAAGGAGAGTGCAAAAGTGGGCTTGAAACTCAACATTAAGAAAAGCAAGATCATGGCATCTGGCCCTCTCAATTCCTGGCAAATAGATGGGGAAGAAATGGAGGTAGTGACAGATTTTATCTTCCTGGGCTCCAAGATCACCGCAGATGGGGACTGCAGCCAAGAAATTAGAAGACGCTTGCTCCTGGGGAGGAAAGCTATGGCAAATCTAGACAGCATACTAAAAAGCAGAGACATCACCCTGCCAACAAAAGTGCGTATCGTCAAGGCCATGGTTTTCCCAGTTGCAATGTATGGCTGTGAAAGTTGGACCGTAAGAAAGGCTGAGCGCCAAAGACTGGAGGCCTTTGAACTCTGGTGCTGGAGAAGACCCCTGCGAGTCCCCTGGACTGCAAGGCGATCCAACCGGTCAGTCCCAGAGGAGATCAACCCCGACTGCTCTTTAGAAGGCCAGATCCTGAAGTGGAAACTCAAGGACTTTGGCCACCTGATGAGAAGGAAGGACTCCTGGAGAAGAGCCTCATGCTGGGAAAGATGGAGGGCAAGAGAAGAAGAAGGGGACAATGACAGAGAAGGAGGGGGCTGGATGGAGTCCCTGAAGCAGCAGGCGGGAGCTTCAATGGACTCCAGAAGATGGTAGAGGACAGGAAGGCCTGGAGGAACGTTGTCCATGGGGTCGCGAGGGGTCGGACACGGCTTCGCAACTAACAACTCTTCCCCCAGGCCCAGCTGACAGTCAGCAACACGCAGGAAAAAGAGTTGCCAGGATCTGCAGCTCTTTCATGTTGATCAGCCTTGCTGATTTTGTCCCGTGTGTGTTTGCAAAACTCCACAACAGGCAGAGATCCTTTGAAACCCGAATGGCACCAGTCCACCCACGGATTCCTCCCCTGCTTCCAGACTGCTGGTCTCCATCCACAAAAGATTTCAAAATCCCCTTAAAAGGAAGCGACTTCAAGCGAAAATGCAGCCGGACCAAGAAAGTAACTGTGGCTCAAAAAAGGCCACACACGTTTGGCGGGTCCGACAAACACGAGAAGCGCAGGAGTCACCCTGGGGCTGTGGTCCAGGGTGACAGACGAGGAAATTTCAGGTTTTTAAAGGCTCTATAAAAAAATAATGGGCCCCATTAAATGATATTTAATGTGGAGAAAAGCAAAGCCTTACATTTAGGCAGGAGAAACCCCAAAGGCACAAGTGCAGACTGGGCGAGGCCTGGCTCAAAAAACAGCAACTGGGAGAGGGACCTTGGGGTCCTAGTGGACGATCGCTTGACCGTGAGCCGGCCGTGTGCAGCAGCAGACAAAAAAGCTAACAAATCCTGGGGTGTATAAACAGAGGTGTAGAATCAAGATCACACGAAGTGTTAGTATTGCTTTTTAAAGCCCTAGTGAGGCCACACCTGGAATACTGCAAGCAGTTTTGGTCACCCTATCACAAAAAAGATGTTGAGAGTTTGGAAAAAGTTCAGAGAAGAGCAACTAAGATGATCCAAGGCCTGGAGACTAAAACATACGAAGAACGGCTACAGGACTTGGGTTTGGCTAGTCTAAGGAAAAGGAGGACTAGGGGGGACATGATAGCAGTTCCAGTATTTGAGGGGCTGCCCCAAAGCACCAGAGGGAAGGACGAGAAACAATGGATGGAAACTGACCAAGGAGAGAAGCAACCTGGAATTAAGGAGAAACTTCCTGACAGGGAGGACAATCAACCAGTGGAACAGCTGGCCTCCAGAAATCGTGGGCGCTCCATCACTGGAGGTTTTTAAGAAGAGGCTGGACAGCCACTTGTCTGAGACAGTATAGGTTCTCCTGCTTGAGCAGGGGGGCTGGACTAGAAGACCTCTAAGATCCCTTCTGGCTCTATTCTGATTGATTGATTGATTGATTGATTGATTGATTGATTGATTGATTGAAAAATATAACTGACTCTGTTCAACAATCAGATCACTCCACGGATTTGCCACTCAGGGCTGTTATCTTTCACAAACTAACAGCTAGCAATTGATGGAGAGAGTGGAGTGATTTTCAGTTAACCAAAGCCTCCTTCACTTAAAACAGGATTGTCCAATCTTGGCAATTTTAAGACCTGTGGATCTCAACTCCCAGAATTCCCCAGCCAGCTTTGCTATTCTATTCTATTCTATTCTATTCTATTCTATTCTATTCTATTCTATTCTATTCTATTCTATTCTATTCTATTCTATTCTATTCTGTTCTTTTGTTCTGTTCCGTTCTATTCTATTCTTCTATTCTACTCTAATTCTACTAATTCTATTCTACTCCTATTCTATTCTATTCTACTCTAATTCTATTATGTTCTGTTCTGTTCCGTTCTATTCTATTCTTCTATTCTATTCTACTCTAATTCTATTCTATTCTATTCCATAATTCTATTCTATTCTATTCTATTCTATTCTATTCTATTCTATATTCTATTCTATTCTACTCTACTCTACTCTAATTCTATTCTAGAATAGAATTTTTCTTGATCTGGTTGCACAAAGACTCAACGGCTGCAAAGCTTCTCCAGCACGTCCTTTCGAACCTTCCCAAGGACATGGCTGGCCCCTGTCTTGTCTGTGTGGGGTTTAAGGGAGGCAGCTCTAGCCCTCCTTTTCGGCAGCCCCCCCCCCCACACCGAGCCAGGAAGGAGTTCAGGCATGACTCATGCCTGGGGAAAGCGGTCCCAACCAGGGGCTCCAGAGTTCGGGGCCATTCCAGGCCTCCCGGGTCCATGCAGGCATTTTACGGGAACAACACGGATTCTGCATTCGGCCAAGGAAACACTCAAGGTCAGCCACAACTTCTAAATCTGGATTTTAACATTTCGGATCGCCAGCCAGTCACGCGGTTAGCAACCCTTCTGAGATATACTGTACCGACAGGACATTTTAGAAAGAAAAATAAATAAAACAATAGATTAAGCTAACAAAAAAAAGGAAATAAAAATTGGCTAGTGAAAATTAAAAGTGTTCGTTCCAAGAGTCAGACTTTTTTTTAAATAAGTTCGAGGATTTTTAAATGAAAATCTCAAAATGAATATATATCCTACCTAAACAACTTGAAAGGGCGAATTTTATATGCCGAAACGCCAAACGTGCTTAGCAATGTTTACTGACATCTGTCAATATTTGTGAAGTGAGAAAGACAAGAAATAGCTATCTGAATCAATGGACAGCTGGAGAATTGCTTGGGAAACATAGAAAACAGAGGGCAGAAAAAGAGCCACTGGTCCACCGAGCTTGCCCTTTGAGACTTTATTCTTTTAGATTCTTCTCAGATAATAATAATAATAATAATAATAATAATAATAATAATAATAATAGACAAAATGCCAAATCCAGTCTGAACATCTGGCTGACTGTGCAATGATCCATAATGATAATAATAATAGTTGGAAGGGACCTTGGAAGTCATCTAGTCCAACCCCCTGCTCAGGCAGGAAACACTACACCATTTCACACAAATGGCTGTCCAGTTTCTTCCAGTGTTGGCGCATTCACCGCTTCTGGAGGCAGGTTGTTCCATTGGTCAATTGTTCTGACTGTCAGGAAGTTTCTCCTTAGTTTTAGGTTGCTTCTCTCCTTGGTTAGTTTCCATCCATTGCTTCTTGTCCTGCTTTGGAGAATAGCTTGACTCCCTCTTCTTTGTGGTAGCCCCTGAGATACTGGAAGATTGCTATCATGTCCCCCCTCGTCCTTCTCTTCGTTAAACTAGACATACCCAATTCCAGCAACCGTTCCTTATATGTTTTACCCTCCAGTCCCCTGATCCTCTTTGTTGCTCTTCTCTGTACTCTTTCTAGAGTCTCGACGTCTTTTTTACATCGTGGTGACCAAAACTGGATGCAGGATTCCAAGTGTGGCCTTACCAAGGCCTTGTAAAGTGGTATCTCCCACTTGTTATTCTAAGAGGACTGAACGAGACGTACAAATGGCAGATTAAGAAGCAACTGCACCTTCTTCCTGGTCAACAGGCTGTGTCAAGAACCAGGGCTATTTTAAGACCCCGTGGACTTCAATCCCGGAATTCCTGAGCCAGCCATGCTGGCTGGCTCAGGAACTCTGGGAGTTGAAGTCCACAGGTCCTCAAGTCAGGATGGGTGCCCACGACTGCTCAAGGACAAGCCCTAGAGAACCTCCAGGCAGTCCCTTTCCCCAGATGAGTGTGTGTGTGTGGGTGTGTGCGTAACTCGCCCTACACCCAGGCCACCCGTGCCCGGAAGGCGAAGGGGGCCAGGAGGGTGGGCAGGGCGCCCCGCTCACCTCTAGCTTCTTCTCCTTCTCCGTTAGCACGTCCTTCTGGGTCTGCGTGTACTCGATCAACATGCGTGCCAACTGGCGCCGGTCCTCCAGTTCCGCGGCTAGCCGTCCGTTGTATTCGGCAAGTAGCAAGCAGGCCTCGTCCACCGTCTTCGACAGGCGCTCCGCCGCCTCTTTGTCTGCGCACGGAAGACAGAGTAAAACGGGTTACGGGGAGGACGCACGCACACAACCCCTTTTGTGTTGCTGACCAGCAGCGAGCCGCTCGTCCGGAGGGAAGGATGCCAAGCAAGAGAGGATTTTGCAATCTTGGCCAACTTTCTACATTGTGCAAAATCTGAGGAAGTTAACGGTGCGTCTTTTCCCAGCCTGGCAGAGCAGGACGGCAGGGGATGTCAGGGGTCCCCTCTCTTAAGGAGGTCCACCTGGTAGGACCAAGAAGAAGGGCCTTCTCCATGGTGGCCCCCTTCCTCTTATTTGAAGGACCATCTTTTCCCAGCTAAATTTACCCAACCCACCTGAGTGGGCAGACAAAGGATGTTATGGGTCCCCTCTCCTAAGGAGGTCCACCTGGTGGGACCAAGAAGAAGGACCTTCTCCATGGTGGTTCCCTCTTATCTGAAGGACCATCTTTACCCAGGTACACCCACAAGAATGGGGAGGCTGGACCTCTTAAGAAGGTCCATCTGGTGGGACCAAGAAGAAAGACTTTCTCCGTGGTGGCCCCCTCCCTCTTATTTGAAGGACCATCTTTTCCCAATCACATCCACCTGACCCACCAGGAGCAGGGAGGCAGGGGAGGTTACGGGTCTCCCCCATTTAAGGAGGCCCATCTGGTGGGACCAAGAAAAAGGGCCTTCTCCATGGTGGCTCCTTCCCTGAGGAACATCACCCCGGGGAAGATAACATTGGCCTCCCGCTTTGACACTTTTTCAAAAGGTGCTGAAGACCTGGTTTTGCCCACATTTCATTTAGTCCCGCCTTTGGTAGCCTTTGTGAGTTGTCTTAGGCCAGGGGTCCTCAACCTCGGCCACTTTTAAGACTTGTGGGCTTCAACTCCCAGAATTCCCTGGCATTCATGCATTCCTTTTCACGCCTAGCCCCGTTACGGCCTGCTTATTCTCTTGTAATCCTTTCCTCTGTAATCTCTCCACTCTAGACAGTGGGAAGGGGGAAAAAAACCAGGCATGGCTGGCTGGGGAATTCTGGGAGTTGAAGTCCACAAGTCTTAGAAGTTGGCACGGTTGAGGACCCCTGACTTAGACCCCGTTTCGGTTTCCGCTCAGCCGGGCGGGTTTTGGCCCCGGGAGGAGAGTTGCCGACCTGTGATCTTCTCCAGCAGCGAGACGTCCTGAACCTCTTGGGGAAGAGAGGCGATCTTCTGCCGCACGGTGGCATCGCCCGAGGCCGCGTTCTCCAAGTCCTGCAGGGCCTTGATCAGGTCCTCGGCCTGCCCGGGGGGAGACAGGGAAAGATGGGCGCCGGGCCTTCCCCACGGCCCCTCTGCCCCGAAGCTCTCGGGCGCTCCCGCCTCCCCGCCTGGGGGTGCCCACCGAGACTGCGACGCCAGGAGGGACAAAAGTGCCCTGGGCACGGAGGGGCGAGGGTTTGGCTGGCGCTGCCCCCCGGGCTGCCTGGGTAGATGACAGAATGGCAGAGTTGGAAGGGACCCTGGAGGTCTTCTAGTCCAACCCCCTGCTCAAGCGGGAGACCCTAGAGGAGGGGGTCTCCAGACTTGGCCACTTTTAAGACGTGTGGACTTCAACTCCCAGGATTCTAAGAGTCCTTTTCCTTTCCTTCCTTCTTTTTTCTTTCTCTTTCTTCCCTTCCTTCTCTTCTTTCCCTCCCTCGCTCCTTTCCTCTTTTTCTTCCTTCCTTCCCTCCCTTTCTTTCCCTCCTTCCTTCCTTCCTTTTCTTCCCTTTCTTTCTCTTTCCCTCCTTTCTTTTTCCCTTCCTTTTTTTCTTCCCTTCCTTTTCTCACTCCCTCGCTCCTTTCCTTCCTTCCTTCCTTCCTTCCTTCCTTCCTTCCTCTTTCCCTCCTTTACCCCCTCCCTCCCTCCTCCTCTTTCTTCCTTCCTCCCTCCCTCCCTTTCCTTCTTCCCTTCCTTCCTCCCACTGTCCCTTTCCTTCTACTTCCTTCTCTCCCTCCCTCCCTCCCTCCCTAATTCTGGAAGTTGGAAGTCCACAATTCTTAAAGCCCCCAAGTTTGGACCTCCCTGCCCTACACCATTCCAGAGAAATGGCTGCCCAGTCTCTTCTTGAAGACCTCCAGGGATGGAGCACCCACAGCTTCCGGAGGAGACGATTCATTGTTCTCATTGTCAGGAAGAGATAAATAGGGGGGGGGGGACACAGCCCTCTCTCTGCCTGGCATAAACACCTGTCCAGGTGACACTCGGCCAAGCTTCCTGAGTTTGGATGGGCTGCCCAGGCCAACGCCTGCTGAAACCTTCATCCGAGGAAGCAGGGAAACAGCTCGGTTTGAAAATTCAGTTTAAGGTTTCCTGGATCGGTTCTTTTGGGCTGACAGGTAGTCCTCAGCTTATGACCACGGTTGGGACCAGAATTTCCATGGCTAAGCAAGGCAGCTGTTAAGTGGGTCACGCCAAACCTGAGGACTTTTTTTGCCACAATTGTTATTCCTTCCTTCCTTCCTTCCTTCGTTCCATCTCGACTATTATCCTCATAAATAACTCAAGATGGCCAACGTTAACTAAGATTCTCCTTTCTCCTCCTCTATTCCCCATGACGACGACGACAACCCTGTGAGGTGGGCTGAACCCAGAGGGACCGGCCCAAGGTCACCCAGCTAGCTGGCTTTCCAGGCTAAAAAGCAGGACTGGCATTCGCGGTCTCCTGCTTCCTTTTCCGTTAAGCAGATCACTGAAGTTGTTAAGTGAACCACGCGTTCATTAAGTGAATCCAGTCCCCCCCCCCACTGGTCTGCTTGTCTGAAGCTAGGTGGAAAGGTCACAAACCCTGCAATCATCATTAACATATGCTGGTTATCAAGCATCCACATTCCGATCCCCTGATTATGGGGGAAGGCTGCCTAAGGTCCAGGACCCTGCGTAAGTCTCTTTTTTCAGCCGCATTTTAACTCTGGAGGGTCATGAAATGAATGGCTGTAAATGGAGGACTACTTGTACGTTAGAAAGACGAGGGAACCCCCCCCCCCAAAAAAAACCCAGCATTGTAATATTCAGACAAGGGTGATCCAGGATCCTGTTGGCCTGCTTGACAACTTTCTCAAAAATTCTTAATATTCAACATTTGGGGCAAGTTGTGACCAGGCCTTCTCCGGCCTCTGTTCAGAGGTGTGGGCCTTCTTCCTCTCCCAAGAATTCAAAGGCCGTGTTTCCACTGGGTGGGGGGGGGCAGAACTTCTGGGGGTGCCAGGCTGGGAGGACCCCGATGCATGCCTCAAAAGTTCAAAGGAAGACCGATGCTTCTCCAGATCTCCTCCTACAAGCAGATCCTTCATTTGTTCGGTATTCCTTTGAAGGTCCACATCCGCGAAGTGTCCTCCTTGTCAAATAAATAGAATTTTAAGGCCACAGCCCCATCCCAGCAAGCCCCAGAGGCCTCGCCAAGGGCTGGGTCAACTCCGCAAACGAATTGGGCTGAAGCCATTTTCCCTTCGTTTTCAAATGTCACAGAGTTGGGAGGGAGGGGATGAGTATTTTGTTAGCTTAGTCAAAACAATAAATTGTTCCATGGGAACCAAGGTCATTGCTGATTGCGTTAGAAAGCCCGCTCAAGTAGTTACAGTCGTGACCAAAATTGTGGAAACCTTTTGAGATAAGTGTACAGTAGAAATGCCACCTTTGGTTCAGTTTCCACCCATTTTTCTTCTAATTTCTTTATAACTGTAGCCTTGTTCACTTAATAATACTCTTTTACGTCGCTTTCTGGGTGGCCAGTCAACTCTTTGCACCATGACTTTAATTTTATTACATTTTACAAGCTCACTCAAGAACACAAAAAAACCCAACTGACTTGATAGTGATCACATAACACACTGACAAATGTCCTCCTCTCAGCTTCAATACAGGACATCAATAACTGGATCCGGCTGTGATCTGATTGGCTCATTGCCAGAACAAGATGACACCGGATTGGCTCTCTAAACACTCGTGCTCATTGGCTACAATCGGATGAAGGAAAGCTCCCTGATATCAACCTAAGCAAGTTGTGCTTCCTTTTTCTGGTTATTTGGCTGTAACCTTTCATAGAATACAGTCCAGATAATTGAACAAACTCTGTTGCATTACATTCTTGATTAAATTATCTTTCCATTGATATATAGTTTTATGGTACTACTCCCCCAAAAAAGGGGTGTTATTAGCCATCAAACCTCAAAAATACACTTTTCCCAAAATGTTTCCACAATTTTGACCACTACTGTAATTGAACTTTTGATCGTGCCGAGACTGTGTAGCCAAATAAATATGTTCTTCAAGGCAGGGGTCCCCAACCTATGGGCCAGTAGCGGGTTGCGGGCTCTTAGCCAGCAGTCCGCAAAAATGGCTGGCGCATGCGTGAGCGCACATGCATGGGCATGCATTCCCCCCACTCATGCTAGCGCCCACGGTCGTTTACGCAAGCGTGCGGTTGCAAACGGAAACACTAGCATAGGGAGGGGGTATGCACACCCCGTTTGTGCATGTGTGAATGGGCTGCTAGCACATGTGTGTGTGTGGCCCATTTGTGCATGCGCGAACGTAGCCACTAGTACTGCGCCAGTGGGTGTGGCACTGTTTGTGTGCATGCATGTGCGTGCACAAGCAGTAATTTGGAAGCTGCTCTCCTCTCCGGGCCGCGAGCCCGGAAGGGTTGGAGAACTCTGCTTTAAGGAAACTTTTTTGCCTTGGAGTTCTGTTTTTACTGGTCTCATCTATGGGAACCGTGACATGCTGCAGCCAAGCAGGGAGAGAAAGTGAGAAAAAGAGAGAGAGAGAGAAAGTGAGAGAGAGAGAAAAGGAGAAAAAGAGAAAGAGAGGAGAGGGAGGGGGAGAGAGAGGGGGAGAGAGAGAGAAAG